TATTAGATAGTATACCAGGGTACGTTTCGGTATATACCGGACCGTACCCAGGGTACGTTCCGGCAGTACCCCGGGGGACATAGACCCTCTCAGCCATAGTGCATGGTACTGTAACATCTCTTGTTATTCTTCCTTCTCTCTCTCTCTACTTGCGCCCTCTATCCCTTTTACAGGAGCGTAGCCCTAGATGTGTCGACGTTATTCACTTCTATGCTCACTCCTGGCCTTGCGTTGTGTATTTTAGATTCGTATCGCTGGATGGTGCGAGAGACGTTTGTGTCGAGCGTTCGGAGCACGCGTGAGGGGATGACTGTCTGATTATTGTTTATTTGGTATAGCGCCGAGTTTATATCTATGTGTTGTCGCGATGGGCATTGAACCATAGGTTCTTCGCCTGATAATTAAGCTGTGCAATTTACGTTGTAATTTGTAATCATTTATGTTTAGTCTGTCGTCTGTCTCCTTTTTCTGGGTGTGTCAGTAAATAGATGTGCAGATGTAAGAGGAAGAGTGATATGAATTTAGAAACGATAGCCCCTTAACTCCGGGGCTACGATTTATTCAAGAACCAATAGAATACACGCATCTATGTACATATACGGTGTCGATGAGTCCGGATTGTTGCCTTGTTAACCGAAGAAAGAAGCCAACGCACAAGAGTTTGTGTAATTTTAACGTGTGACTCAGTGGTCAAGAAACTTGGCTCCTGCAAATTCTAGGCTCTCTTGACTCAAAAACGGAAGCTTGTAGCTCTTTATGCTAATAGTGTAAAGACTTGTAGTACACTAGTAGTGTCTTGACTTAATACTAGTAAATATTTGATTAGTTACCACGTTAAAGTACACATTTATAACATCAGAAGTTGGGCTAATGCTCCATTAGGAGTGTTCCCAACTTTGATATCGTTAATGATTAATGATTGATAATCCTAACCCTAACCCTAACCTAAATGACATTAAACCACAAACTAATATATGACCATGACCATATATATATATATATGTTATTATGACCATTAATGACATTAAAGTTGGGAACACTCCTAATGGAGTATGACCCAGAAGTTGGCTTCTAAATTCTTTGTTTATACTCCTGTAGTAACTATAGTAATCTCATTTTTATAGATGCCAAGTAAAGATGGATGTAGACAGCTTAAGGAAGTCACTTGCTCAGAATGGACAGGAGCATCTCCTAAAGCACTGGGATCAACTGACAGACTCTGATAAGAAATCGCTTTACAGTGATCTTTCCAGCATTAACTACAAAGAGGTATACCAGTGTAAATCCACTCATATGCATTGTATCATTAACACTTAGCTCTTTGTAGAGGTCTATAGCTAGCTGTGTAGCATTTCACTCTACAAGCAAGCTACGTGGATGGAACTACGTAAAATGGTGCATACGTGTACATTTAGCATGGCATGATCGATGCAGTTTTACATAATGTATGTAAATTGTTTGTCATATATGATATATATAATCAATACACTGTGTATACATATATGCATGAAGTCTGTGAACTATATAATTTTACTGTGCATGTTAGGAAGTAAATGTAAGGTTGGTCGTCGACTCGTCATGATGATTTACCCATGGGCCCTGTAGACTGTCGAGGCTGGATGTCTGTGTGTGGTAACACTCCTAATGGAGTATGACCCAGAAGTTGGCTTCTAAATTCTTTGTTTATACTTCTGTAGTAACTATAGTAATCTCATTTTTATAGATGCCAAGTAAAGATGGATGTAGACAGCTTAAGGAAGTCACTTGCTCAGAATGGACAGGAGCATCTCCTAAAGCACTGGGATCAACTGACAGACTCTGATAAGAAATCGCTTTACAGTGATCTTTCCAGCATTAACTACAAAGAGGTATACCAGTGTAAATCCACTCATATGCATTGTATCATTAACACTTAGCTCTTTGTAGAGGTCTATAGCTAGCTGTGTAGCATTTCACTCTACAAGCAAGCTACGTGGATGGAACTACGTAAAATGGTGCATACGTGTACATTTAGCATGGCATGATCGATGCAGTTTTACATAATGTATGTAAATTGTTTGTCATATATGATATATATAATCAATACACTGTGTATACATATATGCATGAAGTCTGTGAACTATATAATTTTACTGTGCATGTTAGGAAGTAAATGTAAGGTTGGTCGTCGACTCGTCATGATGATTTACCCATGGGTCCTGTAGACTGCCGAGGCTGGATATCTGTGTGTGGTGACTTATATCAATATCATAGCAATCAAAGGCCCATTCATATGTGTCCTATCAGTAATATCCATTGACAGAAACATACATGGCTAAAGCTTGATTAAAGCTCTTGCAGTTGCATTGACAGCGGTGCCTGTGATATGTGGCGTACCAAACCACATACATAGAACCTAGCTGCGATTAATGGTTACATGTGAATGTTTAGGAGTACCATGTATAGCCTAGCTAACATAGCTAGCATTTAAAAAACAGGTAAAATATATGCTATGCAGCTATAGTATTATCAGGAGATGTACATTTGAGATGTGATATATTTTGCTTGTATGAATATTTCAGGTAAATGAATTTTTTCATGCTGCAACAGAATCGCTTGATGATGTATCAGAGAAGTTAGATGTTTGCATGTCGCCCATCCCTGATGATGTATTTGGCAGTGTTAGGACTAGCACACCCAGTGAAATAGAGGAGTATGAAACACAAGGTTTGTATGAAGAAGAGTCATAGTGATATGGAGTAAGGTTTCTATATTGATGCTGGCTGCAAAGAAACCTATAGAAATAATTATATAGAAATAAATATCTCACACATTTAGTTACAAAAAAAAAATAATAATAATTTCAACAATAATGTGTAAAGCAAATGTAAAACATAATAAATGTGTTTAATATTTGATGGTAAAATCTAGAGAGAGAAAAACTAGAGAATTTGCTCATGCTTCAGCACATAAATGGAGATTTTAGCACTCCTGACCTGCACGTTATTTTATTGTATCGCGGCAGGTATGAAGCAAATCTCGGAGGGTCGTGTTGCTGTGGTGCTGCTTGCTGGTGGTCAAGGTACCCGGCTCGGAGTAAGCTACCCAAAGGGCATGTACGATGTTGGTCTGCCATCAGGAAAGTCTCTGTATCAAATCCAAGCAGAGCGTATAGTCAAGCTTCAGCAACTGGCAAGCGAGAAACATGGAAAGCCCGGAAATATACCCTGGTGAGTACAGAGGATGGAGGGGGCATACACTATATATACTATCAAGAGCGTATAAAGAAGGAGAGCGTACAACGGTGAAATGCTGAAACCATGTTGCAGTATTAGTCGAATTAATA